TATGTTCTTTTCGACCTCACCCTCGTAGTATTTTAAACATTGATGGTAGGTAGATGGAACTACTTTATTCTCATGTATCCAAGGTCTTCCAAGCAAGACGTTGTATGAAGTCTTTGCGTCGATCACATGTAGCCATGCACTTGATTGCATATCTTCAATGGTGATTTCCAGCCTGATCGCGCCTATGGCTCTTTGCCCCCCTTGGTTGAATCCTTAGACCATCACACGACTTTCTAAGAGTTCGTTCATGGGAATACCAAGTTCTTTCACAGTGCGAATTGGCAAAATGTTCACTGAGGATCCTCCATCAATCAAAATTCGATTTACCCTTTCATCACGCATATAGCCAACCAGGTACAATGGGCGGTTATGAAGAGTCTCACCTAGCAGAAGATCGTCATTTGTGAACGTGATCTTTTCCTCACAAGTATTAACTTCTTGAGGAGTGAAATCGATGAGCTTTTCCGAAGATGGTGCCAATGGTAGGTCATCACTCGTTTCTTCCCCTTTGTCATCATGCCAACAAGAGGCATCAATGCCCTCATGAGAAATCTTCGTGCGGAACCAACTTGGTATGAACTCCTCCAAGGTTACTGGATGTCGTGGATTTTGAGGATGGTGCACCTCCACTTTTCTTTCTTCAAATATTTAACTGGATTCCATCTCCTTGGTCTTTTTACCATCATTTTCCTTGATGGTTATTCTATTGATTCTTTTCGTAGGCTCCTTTTATGGTGCCTACAATGAGTCACCAATGTCCAACCTTCATCATCATCAGGTTGATTGACTTCAGCTTTGTCGTTCTCCAGTAATTCTTCATCTTTACTTTCTTTAAAACCACATAATTTATCCGGACTGAATGAGCCAAAGGTGATAGAGACTTGGTTCGCGCTTGCTTTCTCATCTTCAAGCACGATCTTCTTTTCACGAGCCAAGTCCATGACTTTGTCCTTGAAGACAAAGCACTTCTCCGAGGGTGGCTCACAATTCGATGGTATTTGCAATAATTTGGGTCATTTGTTTTCCCAGCTTCATTTGATCGCTTCATCTCTGGAAGCTCAATGAGATTTAACTCGAGGAGTTCTTCAAAATAGCTGACACATCAGAATCCAGAAATGGGTACTCTTTCTCTTGCATTTCTTTTAGAGTCAACTTTTCACTTGGCTTATCTTGAAAAGAAGTGGATTTCATACTCTGCTTCTTGCTTACCTTCGTTGTGAACTTCACAGGTGATGTGTTGACGTTCATAGCTTCTTTGTTTTCAGATTTGGGTACGAACTTGCCCCATTTCTTGACTTCTTGCTTGTCGTTCCCTTTGCGAGGCTCATAGATAGGCAACCTTTCATTTCCAGCGGAGGCCATGCTCAACTCCATGTCATGGGCATGAGTCACAAGTTCTTCAAATGTGCCAGGCTTGATACCTTGCAAGATGTAGCGTAGTCCCCAATGCATGCCTTGGATGCACATCTCTATGCTTGAAGCTTCACTAAGCCTGTCTTTGCAATTGATGCTTGCATTCCTCCAACGATTGATAAAGTCGACAACTGGTTCACCCTTTTGTTGACGAGTATTTGTAAGTTCTATCATACTCACAGTACGTCTCGTGCTATAAAAGCGATTGAGGAATTCTTGCTCTAGTTGATCCCAGCTATCAACAGATCCAGCCTCGAGGTCTGTGTACCAATCAAAAGCATTTCCTTTTAATGAGCGGACAAACTGCTTGACGAGGTAATCTCCATAAGTCCCAGCATTGTTGCATGTCTCAACGAAGTGCGCCACATATTGCTTTGAATTGCCTTTGCCATCAAACTGTTGAAATTTTGGAGATTGATAGCCAGCAGGCATCTTCAACATATCGATCCTTGAAGTGTACGGCTTTGCGTAGGTAAAGGACGACTTGGAAGCGACTTCATATTTGTTTTTTATAGTCCCTTCAATGAACTCCTTTAGTTGATTGATTGGAATCATCCCTTCCCAAGAGACTGGAATTTCCTTAGTGGATGCAACTTGTCGCGGGGGAGGATCAATCTCTTGAAATTTTGGGAGTTTGCCTGGTGCATGGATGGATTCTTCTTCCATAAATTCCACCCTGTCTGTTAGCTTGTCAATTCTAGCCTCTTGATTTTGCATGTATTTGGTCAAGCCAGCGATTGCTTCCGTCAAGTTTGCCAACTGCTCCTCCACAGATGAAGTGTTTGTCACCATGACTTGCATGATTGTTGTGGATGATGGAGAGTAGCATGGATTGTCACATAGATTGATCCTTGATTGGCTCGTGCTATATGGTGTAAGTGGGGGAGGATCCATCACTTGAAGCATCATCATCTTCCTTCACAGCAGAGTGCTTGGATCCGGAGAGGTCAAGTAGAGCAAAAGTTTTCTTGATCTTTTCAGCAACATCGCTTCCTCCTTCGGGTGCGTTTGTGGACGATCTTGCTCCTTTTGAGGATGAAGATCCGAAAACAGGGGTAGATGCGGGCGGCACTTGGGGTGCTTGTTGTCCTAACGAGCTTGCTTTGCTCCTCGTAACTTCGAGTATGTTTTCCACATCAGCATAGAACCTGGAATTAGCAACCTTGGTGGAAGTTGAACCGGAGTTGATTTTCTTTGAATCCATTTCGATGTTCTTGAACTTTGGTGATTGAAAAGTTGAGATGAGAGGTAGAGATTGTCTCACTGGGCATGCCAATTTGTTTGCAATAAATTTATGCAAAGAAAAATAAAATTGCAATCATAAACAATTATAAAGAAAAAAGGATTTTATTGATAAACATTGTAGGTTACAACTCTGTTTATCCCTTGATTCTTTCCTCCGATTTATTCTACGTGATTCGAGGTACTTAGCGGTGTATTTCTCGAACGTAGGACTTTTAGCAAGACATATTTGACATGCCTTTGATCTCTTAATGAATATTGTAAGATTTTAATGGAATTTCGGAGATCTCATAATTGATCTCTTTGTGCATATTTCGAAAGTTTATGGAATTGCTGAGATCCCCTTTAAAGGACATATGTAGCCTTATTTATTGGCATGAATTAGGGTTTGGACGGAGTATCCATCAAGTAACCCTAATAGACTCCTCATATTTTAAGAGTTGTCTTGAATTTAGGATTTATCTTGATCTGTTAAAATTTTAGTGTCTACAAACGCCTCCTACTTCAAGGTTTGTTGAGGTGTAGGCTTGCTGAAACTTGACGATGAGACTTGAAGTACCCGACCATCACAACAGATAATCTTGAAACTTGAAGTTTTTGATTTGCAGGAGGAAGTGATGAAGGGCAGAACTGGTCCCATTGGGCGTGACAATTTGTTTGCAACAAATTTTCAATATATGAAAAATAAACTGCAATCACAAAATAAGAGAAATTCTTTTTACTAATCAATTGTGAGTACAATTCTGTTTCTCCCTTGATTCTTCTCTCCTGATTATCTCCATGATTCGAGGTTGAAGCCGCATATTTTTCGAATGTAGGATGATGTAAACCTCCTGTGACATATTTGATCTCCAGCTTCTTGAACTATTTGATTGTCAAGAAGTATCCGGCCATATTTTGATCTCTTTGTGAATATCCCAAGAGTTTATGGGATTTTGAGACAACTATTCAAGGGAATATGTATCCCTTTATATAGGTGTGAGTTAGGGTTTAGGGTAGAGTAACCTCTAAGAAACTCTAATAGACTCCTAGGATTTTAAGAGTCCTGTAGTATCTTTAATTTAGGATTTGGCTTGATCCCCTTAAAATTTCGATGTCTACAATTACAATTGCTTAAATTAATTTCAACCAAAAACTAATATTTCAAGCTTAAAACTAAGAATTTTTCATATTCTTGTTTCTTATTTTAAAGAAAATGAGAGATTCTTGGTCTTTGAGCTGCTACCATTGACCATTTCTCGTTTTGGAATGTTGTTTTTGGTAAATAGGCAACCCCTTGGTGTTCTGGATCCTATCAAATATATTATTGGGACTTATTTTCAAGTCCTTGTTTAGAGTTTCAATGAACTTGAACAAGTAGTTTTTCTTTCTTTCTCTCTCTATATATTGTTTTTAATATATGGCACAACTTCAGCTGACGGAGGACATGATCCTTAATAGGAAGATGTGAAGGTCGAGGATTAGGGTAGTAGAGTAGGTAGTCTAGGGTGTTCACAACAGTAGTATTGGCACGCAATCTCGCTTTCTGTTGGTAGTAGGTTTTTATGACTAACCGTTGTTTTCTTTCATTGTTGATCATCTTACTATCTTGTTGTTCTTATTCTGCTTTTATATGGCTTTTTGGTACTGTCCGTTCTTGTCTATATGTTCATTAATGTGGTGTTTATGGTTTCCTGAGCCGAGGGTCTATTGGAAACGACCTCTCTATCCTCACAAGGTAGGGCTAAGGTCTGCGTACACACTACCCTCCCCAGACCCCACGATGTGGGATAATACTGGGTATGTTGTTGTTGTACTAGGGCCCTGTTTGTCCTTAAAAAGCTTTTCCTTTTTTTCAATTTTTAAAAAAAAATATGTTTGTCCATGAAAGTTTGTAAACCTTTGAAGAGTTTTTCAAAAACCAAAAAGTGATTTTGATCATTTTTTAGATTTTTTTTCCCAGTAACAAAATTGCAACATTTTTTCAAATGAAATGCATGTCCAAATATAATTTCAAATTCCGAAGCCTATTTTTCAATTTAACTCCAAATATTACTTTTTTTCAAAAACTACAATTTTTATGTCCAAACGCCTACTAGGTTAGCAATATACCAACAATTTGTTTTCCTCACCTTTTTGTCATTTCCAAAAATAAAAAAATAAAAAAATATAAAAAACCACGCACACATAAAGTAGCAGGTATGGTCTAGCTTTCTTCTGAAAGGATATATAGATAATTTAACTTCTCTCTGCATGTGTAACACGTGAATATTACTCATCAATAAGACGTTAACTACTCAATTATTCAAATCCTACCTACCATATAGTAACTCTAATAATTTATCTGTATATATAAATGGATCCTATCTCTTCATTATATGACACAAACCATTCATTGAAAAATGGCAACCTTGAAAATGCTCCTTACTTTACTGGTGGCTGCAATTTTATTTTGCAGCCACCAACAATTGGCCGCGGCCAGAGAAGTGGCCGCCGGTGACGGGAATGAGTTACAACTTTGGCCATGGGAAATTCCATGTTATTTACCATGGCCATTCCCGTGGCCACGGCCATACCCATGCCCTCCTCCACGGCCACGGCCACGGCCACGACCATGTCCGCCTCCACCTCCACCACCATGTCCTCCACCACCATCCCCACCCCCTCCCGCCCCAAGTTCAAGCTGCTCAGCTAGTGACGAAGCAAAGATTTACAAGTGCATGTTCAACGAAACTAAAATTGATCCATGTTGCCCAACATTCAAGAGCATACTTGGTACTAGTTGCCCTTGCTATAAATATGCAGAGAATTTGGATAATCAAGTCTTGATCACTCTTGAAGCTTATTGTGATGTTGATAGCCCTTGCAAGGGTTTGCAAGTAAGTTTATCTGTCGATTAAGATTTTGACACACTCATTAAAAAGGTTATTTAACAGTATTAATATTAAAATGTATTTGACTAAATTATCCTTATATTTCCTTAAAACGAGTGATGGGGGGTCGTTAGACCATAGCTTGCTGCTGAAAACGTTGCTAGGCTAGCGCGGCTCGCTTCGCTCTTCGGTCTTCAAGCTCCACCCCCTTACTCAATCCACAACAAATTGAATGAAACCTGGCAAAAAAGAAGTGAACACTTTGCTGAGGAATGATTTTATGTATAATTTCTTTTTCAAATTATTTTTCTGTATACATAATGATGCATTATGTTAATTAATTTCAGGTGATTAAGCTGTCCAAGGAGGAGGAAGAGGAGTAAAAATAAAGAGACTTGATGTTTAAATCCAGATGTTGTATTAGATGATTTGATGTTACTCTTTCTGTTGAGAAGTCTTTAGGTTATGGTTTAGTCTACCATTTTGCAAGACTTCTGTAATTTCTCGGGGTCCACTTGTAATGTCTATGTTTCAGCAATAATTGGCATCTGTCAAATTCTTAGTACTAAAATATCACGGGAGAAATTCAAAAATAGCCAAATTTATAAATGGTTATTCAAAAATAATCACAGTTTCAAAAGTAATCGAAATTTAGCCACATGAATTTTTTATGTAAAGATAAATTTGAACGAAAACACTATTCAAAATCAGGAAAATTCTTCAGTATAATATACTGGAGTTCCAGCATAAGTATACTGGACTTCCACCATAATATACTGGAGTTCCAGTATAATATACCGGTATGCTGGAAGTTTATACACATGTGCTCCAATCTCCAATATATTATGCTGGAACTTTCCTCGTGTTGGAGTTCCAGCATAATATGCTGCAACTTCATACACAGGTGCACCGATCTCCAGTATATTATGCTGGAACTTTCCGTGTTGCAGCAAAATAGTGGTTATTTTCAGTAACTTTGCAAACGCTAGCTATTTTTGAATGACGAGTCCGAAAACTGGCTAGCCCGTGCTATTCTTACAAATATTACAGTACTCTGTGTAGTCCAATGTCCAATTTTCTGTATTTATTTTTTCTTTTCTCTTTATTATTTTAAGATAAAATGACATTATTTAAAATAAGAATGATTAGGGGCGGAGCTACAGTGTCAGATGCGGGTTCGACCGAAACCACTAGCTTTTGTCCATAGTTTGATTTTTTTTTAAAAAAAACAATTGTTAAATATGTGTAAATATATAATTTAGAATCCAGTAACTTAATAGGATTGCGACACCAAACTCATAAGTTTCAAATTCTGACTCGCTAAAAAAGACAGGTCTCCGCGGCGTGGAATGGAAGAACTATTATGAAACATGCAATGGCTAATATTATATAATCTCCTTTTACTTTTTAAATACTTCCTCCGTTTCATATTAAATGAGGTACTTTCCTTTTTAGTCTATTCCAAAATAAATGACACATTTCTAAATTTGGAAATAATTCAACTTTAAACTCCTCATTTTACCTATTTTACCTTTAATGAGAAGCTTTTATAGCCACACAAAAGTCATGGCCCCACAAAGCTTTACCCCTTAAGCTTTTAAGACCACAAATTTTAAAAGTCTTTCTTTTTTTCCTTAAACTCCGTGCCGAGTCAAACTATCTTATTTAATTTGAAACGGAGGGAGTAATAAATTAGTCTTTGATACCAAATCACATTTAGTTCCATCCAAACTTATTTTTGTCTGAATCTTCGTAGAAGAAGGGAAAAAAAAAAATCGTGACGAGATAATTGTGATCCTTCCAACCTTAGCCGTTGGAACTTTGAGAATACAGAAATCAATTAAAAAAAATACTTTTCTCTTAATAAAACTTACAGAATGTGAATTCGAATTATCAATGATTTTCAAATATAATTAATATTCATAAAAGGGAAACAAGGATAATGCTCGACAAGACTTTGATTGCAGTGACTGGAATAAAAAAGATTATCATGAGTTGACTGGTTGAAGTAAATTTTATAGTTGTACAATTGTTCATACAATAAAAGTTAGATATGACTATATGAGTGATTCAAAAACTTGAAGTTATTGTTGAGTGATTTTAGATTTTTATATAGGAATTTTTTTTTCGTTATATTGGCATAATAACTTGACCTCTTGTTTTAAATATTTGTACTATAAATTGTGTTTTGAATATGCCTTTAGGTTGTTACTACTATTCATGACTTGTTGATATGATTTGAATTGATACCTGATGGGTTCGACCATGTTTCACATTAATTTTGAATAAAAAAAACTGGCCCAACATCCCATGTGATCGCTATTATAAAGTACGTCTCAAGATCACACACAACTGATGTCAGTTTACGCTTTATTAGAGGCGAGAAACTGGTGGATCGGTCGGATATGAGCGGATCGAGAATGGGTATGATAAAAACAGATAAATTATCCGACCCGATCTATATTTAATACGAATAAAAAATTGGATAGCCGGCGGATAATATGGATATCCATATTCTCCATGGCTTCTTGAATATGAATACTTTTGAGAAAATTTCTAGTCTCCCAAAATTGAGGAACCCTAATTTGAGGTTTTACAAATGTAAAAGTTAAAGCCATTAATTATCCATGGGTTATCCATTTTTGAAGTGGATAATATGATTTTTATCCATATTTGACCCAATTTTAGAAAGTTTATTATCCAACCTATTTTTTAATGGATAATATGGGTGGATAATTGATTTCTTTTAACCAATTTGCCACCACTACCCTCAACTATAACAAAAGAATGAACCGTGATCCTAGTCTTGATCAAGAAGGTCAACTCCGCGAGTATGGAGTTATGGCTCGTGATAGAGGCGGACATACCTTATACAATAAGGGGTCACCGATATCTGTAAAGGTTGATAAAATTTTTATATATACATGTATATGTCGTTAAAAATAGTAATATATTAGTAGTGGCACCCTATATACAAAGCAAATTTTGATTGAATGTAAGTGTGCACCCCTACCTTTAAATCCTGGGCCCGCCTTTGACTCGCGACTGAAGGAGTTCGACAAAGCCTAAGTTTACGATTACAGAGTTGTGGCTCGCGATCATGGAGGTCAATTATTTATGCATATATAGTATAAATATATATATATCAGTACGGTAGACAAAGTATGGATGCATTTATTTGCATAGCATGATAACATGATCAGGTTGACTATGGATGGCTAGTGTTTCACCCAAAATTTAATGTTTTTTTTTTCCTGTTGTCAAAGATATGAACAATAAAATTCCATTATTAGATTCAGTTATGAAGACTATGTTTTATTAGTATATCCTTTTATGTTAGTATATATATATTTGGAACCCCAAGCAAACCCACAGAGCACTCTGTTTACACTGTGTAAACCCCTCACGGTGTAATAACCTGCAAATCACACAGGGAATGTAAACCACACCAGGCAAGCCCCGTGTGACAGGCTTGACCCAGAAAGCATTGAGGGGTGATCGACCCCAGGTCATCTGTATGGATGACCGCCTCCAAACCAACTGGACCATCCCCGAAGGGTTGTGTCACGACCCAATTTCCCACTATCAGTCGTGATGGCGGCCGATGTTGCCGTTAGGCAAGCCAACGGAAAACTATCAATTCAGTTATTCATTTTATTGTTTTCAAAATTATAAGTCTTATTAAGTAAAGGATTCAATGCGTTTAAAAAAAATCATGAATACTTAAAATATTAGTAAGATATAAAAATAAAATATGACAATACCAAGCCGAACCATAACAACCACTAGAGTATCCCAAAACTCGGTGTCACAAGTGCATGAACATTTACTAAGGGTACAATAATAATAATACATCTGTCTGGAACGTAAATAAGACAGGATAAAGTAAATAATACGATGGGGACTCTATGGGCTGCGATACGTAGCCTGAAATGCAGCTCACCATAATGTCTCCTCAGCAACTGCGCCTATGCGCCAAGATGACCACCAAATGACCTATCAGATCCTGCACATTTAGTGCAGAAGTGCAGCATGAGTACGTAAATCAACGCGTACCCAGTAAATATCTAGCCTAACCCCGGAGAAATAGTAATGAGGGGTCGATATCGACACTTACTAGTGGTCCAATAAATAAGTATGTTAAATCATAAACAGATATGAAGCACAACAGTAAAAATGAGGTAAAACGGTAACTAACGTAATCTTCCAACATTTCAATTAGCAATATAAATCTCCCCAAGCTCATATGTTATCTCATCATATCAAAAATATCAAAAGAAGTCTCAAACACATAAGGAATACCACATAAATGCCAGGTCTCAATAAAAGAGCATCTCACAATTATTCGGACTCCTAGCGGTAATACACACGATTATGCCGAGGTCGTACGACTCGATTCAGAGTGGTGTGTACACTGCCGAGGGTCGACCGGCGCGAACCAGAGATTGTCACGGCCCAAAAATCACAAGTCGTGATCGCACCTAACTCAACCCGCTAGGTAAGCCAACTAACATGAGAAACACAATACGACTGAGATAATAAGAAAATAGAGAATAGCTAACCGAACCTTTACAAGTTTACCAAGACCTGGTAGTACGAATCACGAGCTTCTAAGATTTGAAATTTCAAAACTGATACAAATAAATACACGTTCTGTTTGAAGGTTACATAAACAAATTAGCAATAATCTAGACTACCAAAGACAAGTGGCAGCTATAACAAACGCACGAGCATCTTCTGCATCAGTACCCGACGTCACCAGCAGCTCCGCTCAGAAATCTGCACGGAACGTGCATAAGTGCAGTATCAGTACAACCAACCCTATGTATTGGTAAGTATTTTGTCTAACCTCGTCGAAGTAGTGACGAGGCTTTTAGTTAAAAAGATGCTTATTGCTATAACCTATACAAAAGATTAACGGTAACGCAGTTCAAAGTATAACGGATAAAAGTATCATATACGATTCGGCGAGACAGACAATAATTACTAAAAAGAACCACAGTAGAATATTTACGATCTTTTCTGGTATGAGATATATGTCTAAAATATCAAAATGTCAAATCACATGGCACGGTAACACCCTTTGCGCTTTTATCTCATCCTCATCATGTATAAATAAATTTATGTAACGATTCAATTAGCATGGCAACACCCTTCGCGCGTTCAACTCATCTTTCCAAATGATCGTATAACAGAGCCAACCATATCACAGGAGCACAATAATAGGAATTACTAAGTAGGAAATACGCAAGTAACAACGGTGGGCAAGGATGCACATATGGGTCACAGTAAAGGACTAAGCGGAAAGCACGTGAGTAATAGCAACAAATGGAAAACAAGGACTATCACCTTCAATTAACTAGCATATTGGAGGCTTAAGTACAAATATAACAATTAAGACGGAAACACATGATATTTGCAAGTTAACAAGTAGGGCATGAATGGCTGGCGTGGTGGAAGGCTTAAACTAAAGTGCAACAGAATAGATACAATATGGATATAATTATAAAAGCAGGAAATAGGCACAGTATTCGCAAATTAAGCAAGTAAAAGACATGGACAGTGCAACAACCATTGAGATAAAAGTCAAGTACA